TTTTCAAGTATAAATGCTAGACATGTCAGCATTGTGCTGGAGACACCAATTGGCTAGAACCAGCTCTCAAGAACTGATCATTAAAATTTTTGTGTGAGTATTCACACCTCAGAAATCAGCAAATGCTTCAAATTAGAGCTTGATTTATTGGTTTGTTTATTTCTAGATTTAAGAAAGTGATGGAGAATATATTAATAGTGCGTATTAAACTTTAAAGTTGTGTCTTTATTTTCAGAGAGCTGTTTCTTAATCATTTAATAGCACCCCTTGTTATCTTCCTTCTCCTCCTCTCCTTCCTCTTTTCCCAAAATCTCCTCCCCCTTACTCTCTTTCCTCCTTCTCCCCTCCTCTTCTTCCTCCTCTTCCTCCTTCTCTTCTCCTCTTCCTCCTCCTCCTCCTTCATAGAATATATACGAAGTACAATGCCAGACACTGGAATTAAGGCCATTGTTCCAGCCTTTGTGGAGTTTATTGTCTACTTAGAGTGGTGTTCAATGTGTCCATAGCTGAGTATGCTTTCCAATAGACTCTGATAGGAGCAAAGGAGATATCCAGATAAAATGACCTAAGAAAAAGTGAGGAGGAAAAGATACCATTCAGTTTAAGGGATCAGCTTCATGGAAGGCCTGAAATGTGATCTTAGCCTTATAGAAAGAGGACACTTCGAGAGGCAACAATGAGGAAAGAGAGCATTCCAAGCATGGAGAATGCCTTCTATAGACAAATAGAAACAGGAGGGCAGGATCAGATTAGCTATTACCCAAAGTTTTTTTTTAATATTCCAAAAAGAGGAACACTTTCAAGTATAGCCAATGATGTAGGAATACCAATGAAAATAGCCTATGATTTTTTATTTTATTTCATTTTTTTTGCTTTGGAGAGGTGGATAAAGTCATTAGACTGTTTCAGTCTTAGGCAACTTCCCCACCCTTGTCATTAACATAGAACATAGGAGTATGGAGAAGACCACATTAAATCTAGTTGTATTCCTTCAAATATACTGGATTCATTTTATTTTTAATAGAAATTTTCTTTTATTTTTACAAACTTGAATATGAACATTTCAATTTACAAAAGAGCAGGAAAGAGGTTTATATATGAAATCATGACCTTTATTACATAGTTTTGATTTTTTTCTTTAGGTATGTGTGTGTGTGTGTGTGTACTTGCATGGACATGAATGTGCACTTGGTATCTAAATACAAAGTTGGCTCAACTAAGTAAGACATGGATTGATACCTGAATTCACATCTAGTTCACTTCTTTCTGAGAGAGACTGTGATTTCGGCCCTTGAGGGGTGTAGAAGGAAGGCTGTAGCTTGAGGACTTGCTCCTTCCCTTGATGATATACAAGAGTGGTATTGTACTAGAAATATACCTCTCCACCACACCTCAAATATCAGTTGTCTAAGGATACAATACTTTGGGGGGACCCAGGGTAAATGTCACTTTTCCTGATAGCTCTCAAAGGGAAAGTGACAACTTACTAGCACCAGCTTAACTCTTTCTTACCAAACACTGGCTGCACAAAGGAATTTCATAAATAATGAAGAATGAATAAATAAATTTATCCAGGTAAAGATATGTTATTTCTAACAAAACAACCCTGCTTATTTGTGTTCCATTTCTAAACTTGCTTCTACACATTTTTTATACTAATTTTTTTTCATTTATATACTTTTCTTTCTTCTTTTTTCACCATTGTCACTGCTTTCTGTTCCTATTCTTACTACTTAAAACAAAAAATGTATATACATCTAAAACAAATTATGATACTGATTGTGTCTAAAAATGCACATCTCCTTTTGTTTTTCTAATCTATTACTTCTTAGTCAAGAGAAAGGGAATATTCTTCAACTCCTTTTTTTCTTTCATTTTAGTGAGTATCACCCTGGTGCTATTTGCCTTATCCAGGTGGGCATAATAAGGACTAAAGAATAAAATGATCTTCTGACCATAAGTCATATGAACTTTGACCTGAGAATTTCTGAAGACAATGTAGAGAAGAGAGGAATGCAAAGAGTAGATCTAATGAGTTGACTGGATAATGAGAAGAACTTTGTAGCCATTGGTTCTACAGCCATTCTATGTGAAGAGAGGCTTACTAGTCAAGAATTCCCAGTAAATGGAGGACAGAGTAGCAAGTTTCTGAGGAGTTAGCATCTCAGTGGAAGACTATAGCTGAGACGTAGTGCCAAGGTGAAAAGCTGAAAGGAAAAGGTAGAGGAAAGATTTAAAATCTACAATATCCCCAAAGAACATTATATTGGATATAGTACAACAATTTAAAAATATAGAATGCTTCATAAGAATAGCTGAGATGCAAGGGAAAATCAGAGATGTAATACGCAGAGGAAAAAAAGGAACAGTGACATTTCATCAATAGAATAAACTGTCAAAAATGAGAACTCTCCCTCCATAATACATATTGACTCATTTATACCTGTGCCTTTCTCACTATGTAGGTAAACTTTTTGCATGAGTATTGTGGTAGGTTGAACTTAGGTTATGGAGAAATATTTTCTTCTTATTTTAATGATCAAAATATTTCATTAAACAACTTTATTTTAAATATGAGTGTATTACAATTGAAAGTGACCTAAGTGTCAAAAATCTGGAGTAGATTATGTGGGGCTCAATGGAGTAGGGTTATGGATACAACAATGATATTCTAACTCTATCACCAATTCAATCATTCTGGAGAGCATTTTGCTACTATTCTCAAAGGCTAAAAAACCACACACACCCTTTGACCAAGCAATACCACCACTCCCAAAGTATAGTATCCTTAGACAACTGATATTTGAGATGTGGTGGAGAGATATACTTTTAGTACAATACCACTCTTGGATATTGTCAAGGGAAGGAGCAAATCCTCAGCTACAGCCTTCCTTCTAGACCCCTCAAGGTATCTCCTCAATATTTGAATAGTTTCCTTTTGGCTGCTTGCAGTATTTTCTCCTTGATCTAGGAGCTCAGGAATTTGGCTTTAATATTCCTGGCAGTTTTAATTTTGGGATCTCTTTCAGGAAGTGATCTATGGATTCTTTTAATTCCTATTTTACCCTCTAGAATATCAGGGCAGTTTTCCTTGATAATTTCTTGAAAGATGATGTCTAGGCTCTTTTTTTCTATCATGGCTTTCAGATAGTGAAATAATGCTTAAATTATCTCTCCAGGATCGATTTTCCAGGTCACTTGTTTTTCCAATGAGATATTCCACATTTCCTGCTATTTTTTCATTCTTATGATTTTGTTTGTTTCTTTATGTTTTATAAAGTCATTAGTTTCCATTTGTCCCATTCTAACTTTTAAGGAATTATTTTCTTCAGTGAGCTTTTGTGCCTTCTTTTCCATTTGGCCAATTCTACTTTTTAAGGAGCTCTTCTCTTCAGTGAATTTTTGTATATCTTTTTCCATTTAGACAATTTGCTTTTCAAGGCATTCTTCTCTTCATTTGATTTTTGTGCCTCTTTTACTATTTGATCTATTCTGTTTTCTAAGGTATTATTTTCTTCAGTATTTTTTGGACCTCCTTTACCAAACTGTTGAATTTTTTCATGATTTTCTTGCATCACTCTCATTTCTTTTCCCAATTTTCCTTCTAACTCTCTTAGTTATTTTAAAAATCCTTTTTGAGCCGTTCCGTGACCTGAGACTAATTCATGTTTTCCTTTGAGGCTTTGGTTACAGGAATTTTAGCTGTTATCTTCTTCTGAGTATATGTTTTAATCTTCCTTGTCACCATGTCATCACTTGTAACCTTGTCACCAACTTCTATGGTCAGAAGTTTTTGTGTTGTTTGCTCATTTTCTAGCATATTTCTTGACTTTTAATTCTGTGCTAAAATGGGACTCTGCTTCCCAAGTGGAAGGGGAACTGTGCCAAGCCTCAGGTTTTTTTGTGTAGCTGTTTTCAGAGGCAATTTTGAGGACCTGTAGGTTTCTGACTCTTCCAAGGTGGTATGATCTAGGAAGAGGTGTGTTTACTACTCTGTAGTACTGTGCACTGGTTTGTGAGTGACCACAGGCAGTCTTTTCAACTCTGGAACTGTCCCTGCTCCCCTGTGGCCACAAGCTCTGCTGTGCTAGTGCTCCTCCTTACACTGAGACTGAGACCTAGGATTGCAACCCAGATTCAAGTATAGGCAATGCAACAGAACTTTGTCCCTAGTGACAGTAAAGGGACCTCAGCAAATCTTCTGACCTATTGTCCAATCTCCTTACTGTCTGTGGGCTGAGAGGTCTGGAAACCACCACTGCTGCCACTGATTGAGGTACCCTCAGGCCTGCTCCTGCTTTGCTAGGGCCCAATCTGTGCTGGCATGGCCTGTGCTAGACTGTGCTCCATTGACACCCTGGTACAACAGACATTTTCTGCTGACCTTCTAAGTTTTCTTGGGTTGGAAAATTGTTTCAATCCATCTTTTTGTGAGTACTGCTGCTCTAGAATGATTTAGAGTCATTATTTAAAGGAATTTGGAGGGATTTGGGGGAGAGCTTAGGTGAGTCCCTGCCTTTAGTCTGCCATCTTGGCTACACCTCAACTGTCTCAGTTAAAAAACTGATAGAACAAATAGTGAAGAAGAAAAAGAAATTCTAGCCCCTGAGTTCTGAGATAACCTTGTCTTTTCACAAAATTAACTTGAGCTTAATAAAATATCTAGAATTGAGAACTAGAGAAGGTATATCGGGATTGCTCCTTCTCCTTAACTGTTGTTATTGTTCAGTCATTCAGTCCAGTCTAGCTCTTTGTGAGCTCATGGACTTGTCCAAGGGGTTTTCTTGGCAAAGGTATTAGACTGGCTTATCATTTCTTTCTCCATTATTTCCTAATTTTGTAGATGAAGAACTGAGGCAAAAGGGAGATAAGTGACCTTCCCAGAGTCATGTAGTTAGTAAGTGCCTGAGGCCAAATTTGAACTCAGATCTTCCCCATTTCAGGTGCAGTGCTCTATCCATTGCATCCCCTAGTTGTCCCTCTCTTTAATTAGAATAAGACTAACGATTCTTTCTTCTAGTTGCTTTTCTGAAAGCATTCTTGACATCTTTGTTTCTCAGACTATAGACCAATGGGTTCAGCATGGGAATGATCATGGTGTAGAATATAGAGGCCATTTTATCTGTATCCATGGAATGAGCTGATGAGGGTTGTAGGTAAATGAAGATGGTTCCTCCATAGAATAAGGACACTGCAAAGATGTGAGAAGCACAGGTGAAGAAGGCTTTCTGGCAGTCCTCATTAGAACGGATTTTCAGGATGGCAATGAAAATCGAGAGACAGGAGGTCATGATGACCAGAAGAGCAAAAGCTATATTAAATGCCCCTATAATACAAACGAACAACTCAGTAAAGTGTATATCTGAGAAGGAGAGAGTCAAGATTGGAGGAATGTCACAAAAAAAGTGATTCACAACATTAGAACTACAGAAAGAGAGGCTGAAAATGCAGCCAATGAGAATGGAAGAGTTCAATGAGCCATAGATATAAGAACTAATGGTTAGACCAACACACATCCTTGATGACATGATAGTAGAGTAGTGTAGGGGCTTACATACAGCTACATGGTGATTATAGGCCATCGAGGCCAACAGATAATTTTCAGTAGTGGCAAAAATTACAAAGAAGAACATTTGTGTAGCACAACCATTGTAGGAGATGGTCTTGTCTCGTGTGATCACCCCAGCAGTCACTTTGGGAATAATAGCTGAAGAAGAACCTAAATCCACCAGAGAGAGGCTACTGAGGAAGAAGTACATGGAAGTATGGAGAGTGGATTCCCCCCAAATCAGGGTTATCAAACCAAGGTTTCCTACTAGGGTGATGATGTAGATAAGAGTGCATATGATGATGAGCAGAACCTGAAGCTCTGGGATATCTGTTAATCCTACAAGAATGAACCCATTTACTTCTGTGCTGTTCTCCATAAATGCCATTTGGGAGCAGGATCATTGATCTACAATTAGAGAAGGGAAAAATTATTTCTGCACAATGATAAACAATGTCAAAACCACATCCATAGACCTGTCTTTTGCAAATGGTGGAAATAATAGCCTGAGGGACCATGAAAACCTAGATGACCATCATGGCAGCTACTCCACAACCTTTCATTGAACTTATTAGAGATTATTCTTCTAAAAATGCTTTTTATGGATAACTTGTTATATCACAGGGCAGCTAACTGGGGCAGTGCTAGGCCTGGAGTCAGGAAGACTCCTCTTCCTGAGTTCAAATCTGGTCTCAGGCAGTGACTAGCTGTGTAGCTCATCTGTAGAATGAGCTGGAGAAAGAAATAGAAAACCAATCCATTATCTTCTCCAAGAAAACCCCAAATGAGTTCATGAAGAGTCAGACACACTTGAAAAATTAACTTTTATATCACATTCAATTCTTATCCAACTCACCCTACCTCCATGAACCTTCTCTTGGAACAACGATTTTAAAAGACAAATAAAAACAAAGCCTATCAATGTATGTATGATATCTAATAATATAGAGCCATACCTAATGTCCCTCATCTCTATTTTGAAGGTAGTGATTTTTTCCTCAGATCTTCTCTAGAGCTAATATTTGTTATTTTAATTATTTATCATTCATTTTATTTCATTTTTTTCTACATTTTGATTATGTATATTATTTTGCTCATTCTTATTTCTCTCTGCATCTATTAATTTTTCCAAATTCTTCACGTTCATAATTTCTTATGATACATTTCTATTCCATTTTATTCACATACCAAAATTCATTCATGTTCGTAATCAATAGACACATACTTTTATTTTTTAAATTCTTGGTTACCAGAAGAAATAGTACTGCTATGAAAATTTTTGACCCTCCCTCCCTCTTACTCTCCCTTCTTTCTTTCTTTCTCTCTCTCTCTTTCTTTCTTTCTTTCTCTTTTTTCTTCCTTCCTTCCTTCTTTCCTTCCTTCCTCCCTCTGTCCTTTTTCTCTTCTTTTTCTTCCTTCCTCCATCCCTCCCTCCTCTTTCTCTGTTTTATCTCAAGTTTCTTAAATTTATTTAAGATGTTAATATGTCTTTATATTTCATTTTTTGACTTATTTCCCCCTACACTTTTGACCCTTCTTTTCCCCTATGCAGCTAAGCATGTTTTTTACAATCTTTTACCATTCTCATCGTCTTAACCTCTTCATTTAAGTAATATTATTTTGTGATCTTCTCTTCCTGTAAACCTTCCATGACTTTGTCCTTCTTCCTTATTTCTTTCTGCAGCGCTTTATCCTTTTTCTTGAATCCCATTCTCCAATTCCTGGGCTATTTACAGCCTTACTTGGTCCTCTTTATTGTATGTCCTTCCTGAAGGTAGAGATTTCAGAATACCAGATTTAAACTCCCTCCTCTCCCTTGATTTGTGTTATTTCATTTGTAGGTATTATCACCTACTGCATTTTTTTTCTGCTATGCATCATGCTTAGAGTTATCATTTCATAAAGGAAGCAATCTCAAGTGGAGGAAGTATCATGTGATAGAAATTTCTCTGAGTTCTGAGTCATCAGGTCTGAGGATTTAACATTCCAAAGGCTTGGTTATTCAGTCTCTTATTCTCTATCCTCCCATCACCAATCTGGGTGCTGGCTGCTCTGGGGAATTCACATCCTATCTCATGGGGTTTATAGAAGGATATCCATTTCTTTTCATATAATGGAGTTTATTAAATTCCCAGCGATGCCCCAGACAAAGCAAAATATAAGACCTTGTCTCTTATTTTAAATATATGCCTCCTCCAACATTGTGAAATGGGCTTTAATGACTCTCCTTCACTTCATCTTTAAGTGCAAGATTTTCCTTTTAACCCTTCCCCCCATGTTAGTGTCTATGCCCCATTACTTTTAAACTATTCTCCCACAGCCCACACTCTTTGAGAATCTAAAGAAAACAATACAGATATTTGGAAACCTTAACTTCTCTCTAAATTGTTGAGATTTATCTCAGAAATCCATGTGGTGTACTAGATGGAGCACTGGACCAGAGTCAATAAGATATTAGTTCAAATCCTGCCTCAGACACCAAGTGTGTGACAGTAACTTAAGTGGAACAGTGACTCAACAGCTCTCAGTCTCAGGTTCCTCCCTTATAAAATGGGGATAATAATAGCACCAATCTCACAGGGTTGTTGTGAGGATCAAATGAAATAATATTTGTAAAATGATTTCTAAACCTTATGGCACTATGGAAACACTGGTAGTGATTATCATTATTATTACTTGAAGCTCCATTATGCCTCTCTTCTCTCTCACCACACATGTGACTGCTCACTGTCTTATCACTCCAACAAAAGATATTGATCAACTTATAGAGGGCACATTTAATCGACAGTGTTAGCTCAGCTCTGATTCTTCCCTTCTGATTCTGTAAATTAGCTTTATATCTTTATGTCCTTTTTGTTCTTTGATGGTATATCTATTTCTTTTTGTCTTTCCCTCCCAGTATAATTTTCCTTTTGATTTTTGATAGCCTATAAATGTGAGAGTATCCTCTTAGTGGGATAGAGAGTTGGCTTCTGAGCCAGGAAGACTTAGGCCCAAGTCCTGTCTCTGACACATACTGCCTATGTGATCCTGGGCAGGTAACTTAACCTCTGAGTATTCTAGGCAACTCTCTAAGACTATATGCCTTAGAGAAGGTGCCAACTTCATTGGTAGAGAGAATGTCCTTATTCATGGGTTACCTATATCAATCCCATCACAGATCCCTCTTCCTACTTAGTCTTTTCTTGATATTGGCACCTATTTCCTTTTTATGTTTCTCTCATTTTGGAGTGTTTGCAATTAAAATGTTCTGCTCCCTATTGTTTACTTGTTGATTTCTGTCGAAGATCCAATTTGTATAATTGATCATTAATCTCAGCTTTAAAGACTATGTTATTTAGAGTTAAAAAAATCCTATTCTACTCTGTGATTTCTTATGAATGTTGATTAATTCCAGGTTATAACTGAAATTCTTTCATGCCTGAAAGTCTCTCTGAAGATTGTTTGCAAAACTCATTGTTTCTTATTGAAATTGTAAAGTTTAATCAGCTCAAAGACTTGGATTTTTAAGCATATATCTATTAGTGATCTTTGAAAGACCATGGAAAACAGGAAAGAAAGAAGTATTGAAGGATTTTAGGAAGCAAATATCTCTATTTTCAAACAAGGGAAGTCAATCCAGAATATAGAATACCAAATCCACTTTTATTAGAGGCATATTTTAGATCATATTATTAAAGAGATCATTAGTAAATATCTAGAAAATAAAGTGGTCATCACAAGGCTGTAAAATGATTAACTGAATTTCCTTTTTATTTGGCAGGGTTAGTGAACAGAAGTGTTGGAGGAATGCTGCATATAGTATTTAACTAGATTTGAAAAAAAAATCTTTTGCTATTCTTGGGAAAAGATGCAGAGATGCGGATGAGGTAATTGTGGAATTTGGAGGAGTCAGAAATGTTTGAATGGTAGGATTCCCAAAGTAGTCAATGATGATGTGATAGAAACACAGGAGATCCCCAGTGGAGTTAGCCAATGATCCATATTTGACCCTGTGTTTTTAAGAATTTCATTGATGCCTTGGGTAGAGGAATAATTACTTAGTAGAATTGCAATGGCACCAAGTTCATGATCATAATTAACTCAATGAATTACAGTACTCTTGTTAAAAAAATCTGACAGGCTAGAACATTGGAAAGTCTAACACATGAATTAAAAAATAAACTTTGAAGTTCAAAACTAGGGAGACAGAAGTTTGTCTGGAAAGGGTCCAATCATTTTAGTGGATTGCAATCACAATGCTTATCAAAGGAATTCCATGCACCCATAGACCACTTTTAGTGAGGCAAAGAATCTGGGAATTAGGAGAAGTTGGTCTCCCTTTAATTGCTATCTAGAGAATTTGTTTAGTTCTGAGTTTCATATGTTAGGAAGGAGGTGAATAAGCTTTAGCAAGGTGTTTTAAAACTTTTTTGTGTGTGTCATAGAACATTTAAAGCATTCTGGTGAACCCTTAGAATAAGGATTTTAAATTCATAAAATATAATAGAAAAGTTAAGAAGGAAACAAAAAATTCATCAAAATAAAGATGTATTTTTCATTATTCCAAGTTCATAGCTTCCCTTGAAATCTATCGATGGGTCTGTCTATAGATTAAAGGTTGGGGATTACTGATCCATATTGAGAGAAAGGAAACCAGCATGGGGAAGGTCTTCAAAATCATGAGATGTGGGTATTGGTAATACTAGCTAACATTTACCCACCACTTTAAGGTTTGCAAGGCACTTGAAAGATATTTTCTTATTTTGTACTCGTGATAGCCCTGTGGGGTAGGTGCTATCTCCATAGAGGAAACTGAAACTGAGAAGGGTTAAGTGATTTGCCCAAAGTCAAATAGATTTAGGGATTTGAACCTAGGTCATAGTGATCCCAAGTCCACTACCAATCTATGTAGTACAGCATGCTGACTGCCACACTATGATAAGTACTGCATTCTTGAACTGGATTTCACAGGACCTACCTGAGTCATCAAGAAATGTTGATGAGACTCCAAAGGGGTGTCAAGCACTTTCACAGGCTTGGGGTTAAAGTCCCAAGTCTAGGAAACAAGTGATACTGTCAGAGAAACTGTTCCCTTGAACCTGGTGCCAAGTGTTCAAAGGTGCCTAGATCAGGAAAGGTCATCTCTGGCTACTGCTGCTATATTGATGGCAGTAAACTTAGGAACCTTCTACTCAGTCACAAGATGAATGATACAAGTCAGATGAATGTGTGAAGACTCAGATGACTCCTGATCCATGTTGATTTCACTTCAGTGAACCATCATAAAACCTCATTTGCATTTGAGTGATTAGAGGTGGCTATCAGGGAGGGACTTAATGCTAATCTGAAAACACAATGACTTTTAGGAGACCATGTGCCCTTGGAGATACCTGGAAAGTCTGCTAT